ACTCTGATAGGGGAATTAGTCTCTCAACACACTTTGCCTTTAGATTTAACTCATGGAAGTGATTGAAAATGTATAATCCAAATTTGAAGGCTTGGCAACTTTGCCGAGGTGATCAATCTTTTGTCGATCTCCAGTTTTCCCTGTTGCCAATATTATGTTTTGTCATGTTAGGCTACCTTAGGCTAGTACATCTTTTATTGTTTTATGCCAGTTGCCCAACATGACCGACGTTTTCTTTATCACTAACATAAAGTGGATTCAACCCTCTTGGCTGTTTTTCTTGAACCGTGGAGGAATACTATCAAGTAAATACTATACTACATTTTTCATTGTTTCAAAGCTTTACTTCATCCACAAATTGGTTTCTTTTCTGGTTATGGCTGGTATTGTTAACTCTTTTTTTTTATCATTTGTTTGTTCACGTGATTTCTACGTGATGAAGATAATCTTGGGATATGGATTTATTTCCAATGTAGCATCTTTTAGTCATAGTTACACTGATAGAGAATCATAGGTGATCATTCCCTTTGTGCATCACTCTCTACCCTGTTTTTTAACCAGCTGATCTTCCTGCTGCTGTGGGAAGACAACTCACAGGAGGTCAATGGTTTCTTTTTCATACTTACAAAATTATGTAACATAATCTGGACTTCCAAAATTTCCTCATATCCTATTTTCCCTATTTGATGAATAATGTTAAAAGCTATGGATCCGCATCCATGCGAGACTTTTGTCAGAGTTACTATAACGGGGGAATGCTTTTAATGTTCCCCCTTTTGAACTAACTGTTGTGGACTGGTTTTCTGATGAATGCATTCTTACTTACTAGTTTCCTTTGTAATTTATATTGTTCATAACTTGCATACTTCTTTAATTTATATTCTCTGTTGTACTCAACTTCTTTTTATTTTTTTGGTTTTAATGGCAGAATAAGGATGTAACAGATGCAATTCAGAAGGTAGCTGCAGCTTATGACTGCAAAATTGTTGAAGGTGTTCTTGGCCATCAACTGAAGCAGTTTGTGATAGATGGAAACAAAGTGATACTAGAGTTGATGATGCGGAGTTTGAAGAGAATGAAGTTTATGCAGTAGATATAGTTGCTTCGACTGGTGAAGGCAAGGCAATTGTCTCTTGTTATTTAACCTTGTTGCTGTACCGATGCTTCTCTCTATTGATCTTGTCCTTTAAAATTTCCATTTGCTAAAATTGCAGCCCAAGCTTTTGGATGAGAAGCAGACAACTATTTATAAGAGAGCAATCGACAAGAATTATCATTTAAAAAAGAAGACCTCTAGATTTATTTTCAGTGAAATAAATCTGAAATTTCCCATTCTTCCATTCTCTGCTAGGTCTGTTATTGTTTACGTATTTGTTATGAATATGCATTGGTTGTCATTTCCGCTGTTTAATGCTTCATGTGGATTTCCTCTGTACAGGGCTTTGGAAGAGAAACGAGCTCGTCTAGGTTTAGTCGAATGTGTGAATCATGATCTCTTGCAGCCATATCCTGTTCTTCACGAGAAGCCTGGTAAGAAATGATGGCTGAAGTCTAATTTAATAGTGATAGGAGATGGAAAGTAGTATCATGTTGACACTATGTGCTCACACAATCTGGACTTCTAATCCTGCAGGTGATTATGTTGCACATATAAAATTCAAGGTGTTGCTAATGCCTAATGGATCAGATCGGATCACATCGCATCCGCTTCAAGAGCTGCAGCCAACTAAAACAATAGACGATCCTGAAATCAAGGCATGGCTAGCTTTGGGAACGAAGACGAAGAAGAAAGGTGGTGGGAAGAAGAAAGGTATGGTGTAATATAATAAGGATGATCTAACATATTCTTTCGTCAGATAAAACATATTCGATAAGATTAGACAGATTTTGAAGGACTTCGTATTGTAGTAAACCCAAGGTGGTAAATGTGTTGCAGGTAAGAAGGGTGAGCCTATGGATGCATCAACAAGTGATGCTGCTACTTGAGGAAAAACAAAACGAACTCTTGTTCTTCTACTTGCTCTCCCCTCCTCTTTTTGCCCCCTTAATCTTTCAATTTTGGTACTTTTGTATCTGGTTGGTTATGAGTACAACAGGCATTGATCCTATTCATAGTTGAATTGGGTTATAATCGAATGTCATCCACAAATTATATCGTATATATGGGTTTTCTAAGATAATATGGAATACCTGTTACTGTTGGTCTTAATTTTTGGATTTTAAGTGATATTGCAAACCCAATGTCACCCAATTAGTTATGTTGTTGGAATCAGATTTGATTTGCCGATTGAGTGACGGCGCATACGCACAACTGTTTTGGACGGAGATAGTGTAAATTAAATATAAAATTATACATATAGTAAAGACGTGATTTTAATGACATTAAATATTATCTGTGTAAAAATTTTAATTTTATAAATTACAACTAATTAAAGTCCAAAATCACTTTAAAATCAATTACATTTGACTCATCAGGCAAGTTAATTGGATTATGGAACCGGGATGTTTAGGTTTGTTTTTGATTTTGTAGAACTGTTATTAGCAATTCTAAATTGGATTTACTGAAGTCTGTCGAAGAGGGATTTTTTTTTATTTATCAAAAATGACTTTTTGCTGCTAATACAGGAACATAAGAGAAAAACAAGCATACGAGCTTGCTTTGGCCTCTACAGCACTAATGCTGCAACCTCCCTTGGCGGCTCATCAAACACAAATTCTTTAACGGTTCTTCTATTCGTCATCTTTGCTAACATAACCACCACAACTTTCATATCCCTCTGAATACGCTTCGTTTTCACCTCCCAATCTCTACGCAGCAGGGCTCTGATAGCAGCAACAATGACATTGTTCGACAAGGCACAAGATGTATAATTAAGAATCTTTGAAACTTAAAGATTGTTCGTCTCTACCTTCACCCATCGGTGACATAGTCTCCAAGTATGTGTCAATGCTTCGTGTACCGACCATAATGCTGCAAATAGCACTGAACATATGCCAATAGTCCTCGAGAACCCAAAGAGCCATAAACGTTGCGCATTCAGAATCACTCCACCTGCATCAACCATATTGTCCTTGTCCACATTGCACCATCAACCTTCACTTTGACCCAATCTGCTTGCATTTATTTTTCACGAACCTTGATTTCTCACATGGTTGTCGGAACATTGCCGAGCTTTGCTGCTTGTGATGATGTTGTTAACCATTGGGTTTCTCCTGAAAATAATGCTATCTTTTTTCAAGAAATTCTCATCAAAGAGAATACCATTACTTTTCTTCCAAATATTCCAACGTACAAACAACAAAATAAGATGTCCCAGCTTCATCCATTAATTGCAAAGTTTCCTTGGCTGCGTAGGTTTACCAGCAACCAATCCGTCAATGGCAAGGACACAAATTCATCCCACTTATCTCGTTTAACCAGGCTAGTCCAGACTAAGCTGACCGATTTACAAATCTTCATCAATTTTATTTTTGCATGCACTACATATCCTTTCATGTCATATTTCAAACGATTAATTCGAAATTTGTAAGGATCCTTCCCAAAATCACCAACCAAAGAAACTCGTTGTGCAACATCCAATCGCCGAACGAATTTCCAGCAGGCTCCGTTCTCGTCGTTCTCCCTTGCATTAGCGCCTCATAAGCAAAATTTATAGTGAAAACTCTCGTACTTTCCCATTGTCAGCCTAAGGTATCCGCTTTGAGGGGTCGAACTATTGCAATTTTGCACAAAACTCTCCTAGGTAAGATTGAATTCAGTGTGCACCAATCCTAATGACCAGATTCAAAAGTCATTGAAGCTATAGGCGTTGGGTGTGGTTGTCCATTCCCCATGTATTTGGTAGCTAAAGGCCCCTCATCGTCTAACCATTGGTCGTACAAAAAGTCGATCTTTCTACCATAATGAACATTTCAATTTATGTTGTGAATCTGTAATGCACTAAAATTTCATTGAGGACTAAATTGGTAAATAAAAATATTTCGAAGACTAGTTTGATAATTTTTATACATTATAGAATTAAATCTAAATTATGGGATGAATGATTAATTCTTAGAACTTAATTTGTGGAAGATTAATAATTAAATTGAAAGAAAAAAATTTATGAACAAAGGTTTTTTTTTTTTTAAATATTTTCAAAAATCAATACAAATATTTTATTTTCACATAGGTTCATCTCATCAAGTTAATTTGTATTCATTCCGTGATCACATTTTATGATTAAATTTATATTTTTAGTTTTTTTCTAAAAATTGAGATATTATATGATTTAAATAATTTTAAATTTTGTGTGGTGTTTTAATATTTTTTACATGTAATTGATCTTCGAGTCTAAATTTCACTCTAGTTTCAAACACAACCCTCTGAAATTATAACCTTAAACACATATTTTTTTAAAATCTTTTATAATTTTTTTTTATAAATGTTTGATCATATTGAATTTAAAATAACTAATGTCGAATTTATTTTTATTAAAGAATATACATTTTATTGTAAAACTATTTTCGATTCTAAAATAATTTGGACTTTTTGAAAATATGTATAAATACATTAATCATGGAAATGAAAATATCAATTTTCATTTGAAAAGCAAAAATAAAGTTTTTTTCTTTCTTTTTGCCCAGGCAAAAGATGAGAAGAAAAAGAATAAAAGAGAATGCATTTTTGTAATTAAATGCAGAAATGGATATACATATACTGGAAAGATCTAATTAGTGTCCGTATGAGAAGCGCGTGATTCTTGCTCACTCACATTATGAACGGTATCTTTCATAAATAAAATACGAGGAAGTTTAAAAAGCAATAATTTAATTTAAAGTTAAAAAATGATAATTTTTGAAATATAATTAAAAATATGATAAAAAAATATATTATATTTTAATTGTAAATTAAACCGACTAACAGCAGAGCTACCCACGAAATATCCCTTCTACAAATAATTAAAATAATGACAAATATTCGTACGAATGGAATCCGATCCATAGAAAGCCGAAACCGAATCCCGGCCTGCCTCAGCAGAAAAACCGCCCCCGGTATTATTTTCCACTCGGCTCTCTCTTCCTTAAAAATTCCACCGCCACCATTTCCCACTCCACAAACAAACGATCTTCCCAATTTACTCTTTCTCCTTTTTATAAATTTCTTTGAAAAATGGATACCAACCTCGGATCAGTTGACAGTTGCAAACCAAGTTCCAACGACGTTTGCAGTCCACCAAACGGCAACGTTTCCACCATCCAAAGTTCCGTTTCTCTCACCGTCGTCAACGGCTCTGAAGCCACTCTGGGCCGTCACTTAGCTAGGCGGCTCGTTCAGATCGGGGTGAAAGATGTTTTCTCCGTTCCCGGGGATTTCAATTTGACTTTGCTTGACCATTTGATTGCCGAGCCAGGGCTTAACTTAGTCGGCTGCTGCAACGAGCTCAACGCTGGGTACGCAGCTGACGGTTACGCTAGATCACGTGGCGTCGGCGCTTGCGTTGTGACGTTCACCGTTGGTGGGCTCAGCGTCTTGAACGCCATCGCCGGTGCTTATAGTGAGAATCTACCGCTTATTTGCATCGTTGGTGGACCCAACTCCAATGACTATGGAACGAACCGGATTCTTCACCATACTATTGGCTTGCCTGATTTTAGTCAAGAGCTTAGATGTTTCCAGACTGTTACTTGCTATCAGGTACTGTTCTTTCTTCTTCCCTTCCCCTGTTTTTTTTTTTTGTAGTTTTTAGTTTGATCATAAACAAGTGTTCTTTCTTTTTTTACTAGGCTGTGGTGAATAACTTGGAGGATGCTCATGAATTGATCGACACAGCTATTTCAACTGCTTTGAAAGAAAGCAAGCCTGTTTATATCAGCATCAGCTGTAATTTGCCTGCAATTCCACACCCCACTTTTAGCCGCGAGCCTGTTCCGTTTTCACTCTCTCCAAAGTAATTTGTTTTTCTTCTCTTTCCAAGTTACTCCAAGATTGTTTAGCGATTTGTTTTCACGTCGATTAATTTTATTTTCCGTAATGGATGTAGATTAAGTAATAAGATGGGATTAGATGCGGCGGTGGAGGCGGCTGCAGAGTTCTTGAACAAGGCGGTGAAACCGGTTATAGTAGGTGGACCGAAGCTGCGTGTTGCAAAGGCATGTGAGGCTTTTGTTGAGTTGGCCGATGCTAGCGGTTATGCCGTGGCGGTGATGCCATCGGCTAAAGGGCTTGTCCCCGAGCAACATCCTCATTTCATCGGGACATATTGGGGCGCTGTGAGTACCGCCTTTTGTGCCGAGATCGTTGAATCCGCTGACGCTTACTTATTTGCCGGACCTATTTATAACGATTACAGCTCGGTCGGGTACTCTCTACTTCTTAAGAAAGAGAAGGCAATTATTGTGCAGCCTGAACGGGTAGTGATCGGTAATGGGCCTGCATTTGGTTGTGTTTTGATGAAAGATTTCCTTAGAGAGCTTGCTAAGAGGCTCAAGCACAATAATACTGCTTATGAGAATTACCATAGGATTTTTGTCCCAGAGGGACATCCCCTGAAAGCAGCACCTAAAGAGCCTCTGAGGGTAAATGTTCTGTTTCAGCATATACAGAAGATGCTTTCCGGTGAATCCGCTGTCATAGCTGAAACCGGGGATTCTTGGTTTAATTGTCAAAAGCTGAAGTTGCCTACAGGGTGTGGGTGAGTATTAGTCCTCAACTTAGAATATGAACAAAAAACTCGAAATGGGATTTGATATTGAATTCAATGTTTTTTTGGCAGGTATGAATTCCAAATGCAGTATGGATCAATTGGGTGGTCAGTTGGTGCCACTCTTGGATATGCACAGGCCGTTCCAGAGAAACGCGTCATTGCTTGCATTGGCGATGGTAGTTTCCAGGTACGTACTGTCATTTTTTTTTTTGCCAGTTGCGTGGGGGGAAAAACACCTTTGAAGTTGATTCACATGCTTACAATGTTGTATAGGTGACCGCACAAGATGTGTCCACAATGCTGCGATGTGGGCAGAAGACCATTATCTTCCTCATCAACAATGGTGGCTACACCATTGAAGTTGAGATTCATGATGGACCATACAATGTGATCAAGAACTGGAACTACACTGCCCTGGTTGATGCAATTCATAACGGTGAAGGCAAGTGCTGGACATCCAAGGTGAGTCGAAGTCCAAACTTCATACATCGCTTTGCTCAAATCGAATTAATACTAAGAATTTGTTATTGTTATAGGTATTTTGTGAGGAAGAGCTCATTGAAGCAATTGAGACGGCAACAGGAGCCAAGAAGGACTGCTTATGCTTCATTGAGGTGATAGTTCACAAGGACGATACTAGCAAAGAGCTGCTGGAGTGGGGATCTAGGGTCTCTGATGCTAATAGCAGGCCCCCAAATCCTCAGTAAACTCTTTTCGCTGCCTTCGACATGGGATGTTTCATGCTTTAACCTTTTCAAGTTCATGTGAATTTCTAGTATGAGTTATGAATTAAAAATCTGCTCTTCTTTTTTTAATCATTTGAAAAATATGCTGCGGATAGTTGTTGATATTTGTGTTTATAGCCTGGTTTCATTTCTATTTGTATTGGGCAGTTATGTGGTGCGGTGTCTTAGTATACGACTAAAATAAGACGTTATCGATTTTGTTATTATTTTAAATAATAAAACATATAAAAAATGACTGAAAATATCATTATTTTGATCGTTATAATTACCTATATAGGTAAACGCGGTAAAAAAAATTCAGTTAAAAAATGATATTTAGGTAGTGTTTTATCATAAATACCATTTTTATCGGATTTTTTTTCGTGTTTACCTATTTAGGTAATTATAACTGGTTAAAATAATGATGTTTTCGGTCATTTTTTATCGATTTTATTATTTAAAACAATAATAAAATCGATAACGCTTTATTTTAATCGTATATTAAGACGCCGCACGTGATCGTTTCCCATAGGGCCTTTAAATAAAATGCTCCATTAACTATGGAGTTATAAAATGGTCTCTTACTTTGTTTGAGGCTTATAACTATTATAAATTATAAAATAATCACTTAATTATTTATATATTTAGACGTATTTTTTTGTTAAAAATATTGACAACCGTTTGAAATGAATGTTAATGTGATTAAAATTTAAGTTGCATTTTGAGAATTAATTTTTCGTTTATATTATAGGGTTGAGTAAGTGTTTAAAATACTATATTATAAAGTAAGTGTTGAAAGTGATGGTGGTCTCACTAGACATGATTAAAATATTATTTTATGATATTATAAATAATATGTTAACATTTAGTTCAAATAGTCATCAATTTCATAATAATTTTATAATAAAAAAGACGAGTTTAGAATATATAAATAGTCATATGATTATCTTATAAATTTTAATAATAGAGAGATTTAATAAAATAGTACTTATAATCGGAAATTATTTTATAATTTTTAATAATTAATTACTCAACAAAAGGTTATTATTTGTATAGTTTAACCCTAATAATTTGATACAAAGGACTAGTTGAGAGACGAAAATGCAATATGGTATAAGTAACGTAGGACTGCTTAAACTGCCTACTGAAATTTCTGATAGATATTTTTAAGCTATGAAAGGCAAAGAGGATCATGAGTTCATGACTTATCTTCATTAGCAGATTTTTGTTCTTCCTTAACAGATTTACGTGGATCATATGGAAAGATCGAAAAGCTCAGTGTCCTATGAATAGAATGTGTCCCAAAACAATCGTATTCAGACAAACGACAGTTGTCGGTTGTTCAGCAATTGCAAAAGACCTAAAAGTGGCCACTTGTGGTGTAAATAGTCTTCCAGAAACCTACATGGGTCCTGTTTTGATCGTTTTCTATTGTGGTGTTCAATTGGACGATTCGGTTAATTGATATTATCTAAAATTTATTAATCGAATTTTTTTTCTTTTTAATCGCTTATTGAATCGAATTTTTTTAAATTTTTTTAATTGAACCGAACAAAGTTTGATTATTTCGGTCGGTTAATCAAGTTAACCGAAATTTATAAATATTATATAAATTATATATTTAATATTCTCGGTTAATTCAATAAAAATTGAAGTTTAAACACTCCTAAAATTAGGGGTGAGCATTCAATCGAGTCGAGTCAAAATTTTTTTGAGTTATTCGAGTTGACAAGTCGTATTTTATAACTTGAACTTAACTTGAAATTTTTTCGAGTCGAGTTTAAGTTATTCGAGTCAAGTTATTTGATGTTCTAATTTTCCTACTTTCTCTAACAATGTAAGATATATATTTCATATTCTTTTCACATTATAATATTTTTTAATATATCAAATATAATCATAAGTTATAAAATATATTCATAAGATCAAATTATAAAATATATTCACATTATAATGTTTTTTAATAGTATTTTAAAGGGTAAAAATATTGATGAGAGTATAAAGGAGTCAAGGAATTGATGGGAAGAAAGAATTTGCAAACAATTACAATCAAAAGATCAAATTGAGTAAAATGCAAAGTTAAGGGATTAAATAAAAAAGTCCATTTTTAGTAAAATAATAATAATTGAAGTTATATAGGTATTCTATAGAGGCATATGAGCATGTGGTTCAAATTTGATGAAAAACGAAATTAAAATACATGATGAATTGAAGAAACAATGAAATTATGAAAAATTGAGGGACTAAATTGAAAGATATAAAATTTGTTATCAAAAAGAGAAATTGAAAGTACATATGTATTCTACAATGATTTAGGAGCATATGGTTCAAATTGGGTAAAAAAATTGACTTAAAATAAGGAGAAATTGAAGGAATAGTGAAATCAGCGACTAAATAGTAAAACCGTCAAAATACTTAGTCAATTTTTTGGTTTTTCAAGTAACTCAAAATTTTAAAATTTCAACTCTACTCGAACTCGAAAATCGAATTGATAATTCCAATTGGCTCGAATTAATCGAAATTGAAAAAAAAAAATCGATTTTTCGAGTCGAGTCGAGTTTTGCTCACCCCTACCTAAAGCTAAGTAATATATAAATAATATATAATATATTAAATATTTAATATTTCAGTTATTTTGGTTAATTAATCGATATTGAACCGAATAAACCGATAATCGAAATTTGAAAAAATTATTAGCCGTTAACTAATCGAACCTAAAATTAATTGACTGATTTTTTTATTCAATCGACTAATTAGGTAAATACCAATAACAAGTTAGGTAAATACCAATTAGGTCAATATTAGATTGGTTCAATAACAAGTCATATCATTTACAGATTGAGTCAATTACATGTCAAATTCATAATAGGTTTGATTGATAACAAGTTGAATAATATTAATTATTTACCAGGTTAATTTCAGGTTCGAATTTATATCAGATCAGATACAGGTCGAGTTCAATTCTCACATTATCGAGTTCGTTTCTCACATTATCAAGTTCAATTCAAGTTCAAGTCAGGTTCATATCCAAAATAACTAGGTCTAAATCAGTTTTAGGTCAACACCAGTCCAGACTCGAATTAATTTCATATTATCACCACCTTAAATCATAAATAATTCTAATTCAAAACGATTTGAGTCAGTTTTAGGGATGAAGTCAGTTTTTTACCTCCCTAGTGAAAACATTGCATTCATATCATAAATGGCTTGAAGAAACGGAGGAAGGGAAGGGGGAAAAAATGAGTAAAAGTCTAAATGTGGTTGGCTGGTCCGATTCTATTAATTAAAGGGCCAGCTTTGCATCAATTCCCCAATCAAGTCTTCCCTTTGTTTTTAATTTTTCCAAAAGTTTGAAACTTCAAAACCAAGATGCTGCCCTTGTCCTCAATCCTCGTTCACCACAAACGTCTGACTCTCACATAAATAATAGCCGACAAAAACTGGCAAGCAACACGCGTTTTCTATCAACAACTGCACACAAAACACTCTTAGACCCTTGTTTCTTGGCATCTCCTCTTCCATTCTTCATTTTTGGGTTGCCAAAAAGGATGTAGGATATGCTACAAGCTTATGCATTCCTCCACCTATTCCCAGTCTTATGTTGTTAGTATTAGTTGTATGGATATCCCTCCTAACTGTTACAAATGAGGATTTCACCGTTTTCATGTATTTTCTTCAATTCATATCTAGTTGCAGCTTTCTTTAGCATACATGCAGTTTCGGTTTCGGGCCAATGTCGTAGCGATCAGGGACGGTTGTTACTCGAGTTGAAAAACACCTTCAATTCTAATTCAACTTCTTCAGGAAAGCTAGCCACGTGGGATCAAACTACGGATTGCTGTTCCTGGGATGGTGTAGCATGTGATGCTGCTGGCCTGGTTATCCGTCTTGACTTGAGCAATCAATCAATTTCTGGTGTAATGAACGATTCGAGTAGTCTTTTCTGTTTACAACATCTTCGGCAACTCGATTTGTCTTACAACAAACTCGTGCATGCTTTTCCTTCTGCGTTTGACAAGTTGGAGAATTTGAGTTTCCTCAATTTGTCAAATGCAGGCTTCACGGGGCAGATTCCAGCTGCGATTTCGAGCATGACAAAGTTGGTTTGTCTCGATTTATCTGTGAGTTCACTTCTTGGAAGATCATTGAAACTTGAGAAGCCGAACCTAGAGATGCTTGTTCGAAATCTTACAAAACTTCAATTCCTTCATCTTGATGGGGTGAATATTACAGCAAGGGGAAATGAATGGTGCCAGACCGTATCATCCCTTACCGATCTGCAAGTGTTGAGCATGTCCAACTGTTTTCTGTCAGGACCTATAGATTCTTCACTTTCCAAGCTTCGATCGCTCTCTGTAATTCGACTCGACAACAACAATTTGTCTGCTTCAGTTCCTCAGTTCTTTGCTGCATTCTCAAATTTGACATCCCTTCGTCTTAGTACCGCTGGTTTGAGTGGAAGACTCCCGGAAGAAGTTCTCCAGATACCTACACTGCAGATTCTTGACTTGTCGAAGAACGAGTTACTAGAAGGTTCGTTTCAAGAGTTTCCTCTGAATGCTTCTCTTCAGACATTGAGACTTAGTGACACAAAGTTTGGGGGGAAACTACCAGAATCTATTGGTAACCTTGGGCAATTGACAAGAATAGAGCTTGCAAGTTGCAATTTCAGTGGAACAATACCGAAAACAGTGAGGAACCTTACTCGACTCGTCTATCTGGATTTTTCTAACAACAACTTTTTTGGTCCTTTGCCATCCTTCTCATGGTCAAGAAATCTTACGCATATAAACCTTGGTTCTAATCAGTTAAATGGATCAATTCATTCCACAGACTGGTCAGCCCTTTCTAATCTAGTAAGCATTGACTTACAAAACAACACATTAAGCGGAAACATACCACCTACTTTGTTTGGGATTCCATCACTGCAGAAAATATTTCTTTCCCAAAACCTATTCAATGGCAGCCTCGGTGACCTCCATGGTGAGACTACTTTTCTGCTTGATACCCTTGATTTAAGTAGCAACAAGCTACAAGGACAATTTCCAATGTCTGTTTTTGAGCTTCAAGGTCTTAA